GCACAGCATAAGAAATACAATCAATATTGTAATAACTATGTATGGTGCTATTTGGGTACTGGAACTATCGGGGGAAACTTTCTCAAGTATATGATTATCTAACCACTATACTGTACACCTGAAACAAATCTAGATACAGAAAACCTTAGGCGACTGGTCGACTGTTCATCGCTGCCCCCTGGTGGTCGGCGCGCTCCCACAGCAGGAGCGCTGTTCAGCTAACCTATGGGTGCCAAAAGCCAGGCTCATGGCTGGCAAGCGCAACTGAGGTGACACAAGCCTCTCCCATCCCCCGCGGCAGCACTACTGAGCAGCAGGCACAGTGGGGCCGGGATGAGCAGGAGCCTGCAGCGCCCAGCCCAGGTTCAGGCTCTTCCCTGGCTGCCTGCTGTTTTGCACACTACTACATCCCAGGGGTCCCAGATTGCAAGAGGGTGCAGGGCAGGCTGAGGGACCCCACCAATGCATGAATCCATGCATCAGGCCTATAGTACAAAATAATATTGAATGTAAACTGTAATTTAAATAAATAAAACATAAAGGATGCTAGAGGATTCAGAGTGAGAAATGAGAAGAATGTGATAATGGAAGCTGAGATTATAATGATGCTGCCACAAGTCAGGGGATGCCTGCAGCCTTTGGAAGCTGGAAGTAATAGAATCTCTCCTGGAGCCTCCAGAAGGAATCAGCTCTACTGACATCTTGATTTGATCCGTGAGAATCATTTTGGACTTGTGCTTTTGTAAGTCACTAAGTTTGTGTTGATTCATTACAGCCACAATAGCTGGTCATACTTTCTTACCATTGTTAAAAAATAAACACAAGCTACAGACTTTATTTAACTCATGAGAAAAACAAGCTGATGTTTTAACTGGTTCAAAAAAAAAAAGTCACAAAGCACAAATGTATACAGAATAAAGAATGTTGAAATGAACAGGCAAAGGGAGCCAAAACTTTTTTTTTTCCACTGGAAGAATAAGGAAATTTATTTAAGCTTTTACCAGATAGGACAGAATTTGCATGTCTACCAGTTTCCATGCAGGGTATTGGTGGCGAAAAACTCTGTCAGAGGTCTCAGGCCTGAGCTGGTTTAGAGGGAGAGCTCACTAGAGGATGAGGTCCTTTGGGAACTGGTCCCCAGGGCCAGTCTAACAATTTCTTTTTTCTTTTCTTTAATATATTTTACTGATTTTTTACAGAGAGGAAGGGAGAGGGATAGAGTTAGAAACATTGATTAGAGAGAAGCATCAATGAGCTGCCTCTTGCACCCCCTACTGGGGATGTGCCTGCAACCAAGGTACATGCCCTTGACCAGAATCAAACCTGGCACCCTTTAGTCCCCAGGCCGACGCTCTATCCAGTGAGCCAAACCAGCTTCGGCCAGTCTAACAATTTAACCGAAGAGTGCTGGTGGTCCACAGGAAGTGGTGCACTGAATGAAAGAAAAACTTCCCAGAGAATGAGTACCCTTGGCCTCCTATATGCTGACCTGACATAGTTTTGCATTCACCGAAATTTAAGTAAGCAAAATGAGATAAAATTACAAGGAAGATGCTTCAACTTTGGAATGCCATTTACTAGTCTAAACCTTGCTTTTCTCACTTAAAATGTACTGTGACCATCTGCCATTGTCGATGTGTATAGATCTATCTCTTCATTTTAGTAGCTGCAAGGTATTCTGCTACACAGACATCTTATAATTTAATATTATATGCTTAATGATGTACAGTGGTGGTTTCAAACTTTTTCTAAAATTAAAAAAAGTTATATGTGAGTTATATTTCAATAAAAATGTTGCATAGGCATTATTTCATTATATTTAAAAACAATGTATATGCATATTGAAAATTCTGGAAGGATATACACCAAAATATTT